CAAAAAGTTTTAAGGCAGCAGGTACTAACTGACCTCCACCTGAAAGATTAAGCCAACTGTAGCAAGTATATTTTATACTATTATCTTTTCAGGTCCCAGATGGCAGTTGTATCTACTAGATGGAACTGCCTCAACAATATACTGCATTAGTGTATCAATGATCATTCAATTCACTTCTGAGGCAAAAGGTTACATGTGGCTTCATTAGTGAAACCACAAATGCATCCAAATCTTTAACTGTCTATGGAGATTCTCAGTCATGCAGGTCATGATTGTCCCAAATGTGCTTTTTCAAAGGCAATTAGACTTTCTGGTTTTTCTTTGAAGATGTTTTGCTTCTCATCCAGCTCCAATGAATCTTATTAGATGAGAAGCAAAACATTTTCAAAGAAAAACAACAACAGAAAGTCCAGTTGTCTCTTGAAAAAGTACCTTTGGAACATCTGACTCTTTAGTTGTAAACCAGTCTATTTTTTTTCCCCTCATGGTCAATTGTCTTTCCTTCCACATTCACACAGGACAATAACAATGCATATCCTGTAAGGTATTTTCTCTTTTAAGCTTTACAGAAATGGACAATGCCTAAACACTTGATCTTAATTTTTCAACACAACAAAAGAGGGGAAAAAACTTCCTTGAAGTAAAATGTATAGACTGATGTTAACACTTTAAAATTTGTCTTGAATGTGACAACAACGGATTCATAGTGTTGACTCTTTCAGTTGGCTTATTTTATTACTAGGCCAAATAAAGTTTAATAAACTTAACAAAAAAGCAAGTGCATCTGTTCCTTTCAGTGAAAGGTTGGGAGTGTTTGTTAAATTTGTCTACTGAAGCTAAATACAATAAAACATCAAAGAACACACTTTGGCACACTTTAGAATGACTGAATTTTATAGCCAGGAAATAGCAATACTTTCTATTCTGGCTGCATAGATATAACTGCCAATATGCAGGATTCAGTGATGAGGAACATAGGATAAGCTCTCCATAATAATATAATAGTATAGGATAGGGAATTACTTTCCAGTGTGCTGTAATTTTCTGCATGAGAAAGAGTGAAATATTAATAGCATAAATAGCTGCAAGTATAACTGATGTCACAATGCCGGATTCATTTTTTCAAATACAAACATAGTGTTATAAATTTTACGAATGCTTTAACTGGCATTGATTTAAATTATAAACACAATAAATAAGTTAAATCAATATTATGCAAAACACTTGTGTAAAATGGCTGTAGAATGGGCTGCATGTATCACATGGAAAGTTGGAGCATGGCTCCCACTGATTCCCCCAAGAGGTTGTCTTCTATATCTTTCCACATTACTATATCTACTAATTGCTGACTAGAAATGGATCCAATAGCTACTTACTTGCAGGAAAATCATTTTGTACTCTAATTTATACATTTCTGTTAGTTCTGGTGCCTAGGTTGGGTCAAACAGGGCACAACAATTCTGTATCTGTTTCCCCAAACTATAATGTAGTGAAAGGTCTTTATATTAAAGTAAAGGTTCCCCTGCACATGTGTGCTAGTTGTTTCCAGCTCTATGGGTGGTGTTCATTTCTGTTTCTAAGCCTAAGAACCAGCACTGTCTGAAGACGTCTTCGTGGTCTTGTGGCTGGCATGAGTAAATGCCGAAGGCTCATGGAACACTGTTATCTTCCCACTAAAGTAGTTCCTATTTTTCTACTTGCATTTTTTACATGCTTTTGAACTGCTAGTTTGGCAGAAGCTGGCACAAGTAATAGGAGCTCACTCCATTACGTGGCACTAGGGATTTAAACTGCTGAACTGCTGATCTTCTAACCGACAAGTTCAGCATCTTAGCTACTGAGCCACTGAGTCTTTATATTAACTGGAGTTAATTCACTCTTGGCCTATCCTTTCACTCTTCAATGTATTCCAATACAAGGTACATTGAAATATTTCTTAATATGTAAGAGGTGTTTTTTAAAAGACCTTTCAGAGCACTGGGTTTTAGCATTTAACTTTTCTTGTTATAACCTCTTTCTTGAGTAAAAGACGTAAATTCTCTAGTTTTTAGGGCAGAATTAATAAGCAAGCTTAGACAGTCCCCTATTAGAAATCTTTCAGATGAATGCTATCCAGTGACGTGCGGTGAGGTTGATACCTGGTGAGGCTCAGCAGGGCAGCAGTCAGCCTCGGCGGGGGGGGGGAGAATTTGCATCACAGGAGCAACCAAGCGCCCGGGTCTGCAGCAAAGGCGCTTGGTGGCTCCCGCGATGCAAAGTGCCCCACTGCCCCCCCCCGCTGTCCTGGCCTACATCCGCTGCTTCTCCAAGCTCTGCCGCTGGAAGTTCCAGATCACCTCTGGGGGAAGGCTGAGTGAAAAACGGAGCGAAGCTTCTCTGCGGCCTCCCGGCGCTGCCCAGAGGCTCTTGTAGGAGCACGTGTCAGCAGCCAGTGGCCTGGAGCGGCCCCGCTGTGAGACAAGGGAGCACTTAAAGTAGCCGCTGCCGCTGCCGCCACCACCACCCCGCCGGGCGAAGGAGGGGTGGTGGCGGCAGCGGCAGCGGCTGCTTTAAGTGCTCCCTTGTCTCACAGCGGGGCCACTCCAGGCCACTGGCTGCTGACACGTGCTCCTACAAGAGCCTCTGGGCAGCGCCGGGAGGCCGCAGAGAAGCTTCGCTCCGTTTTTCACTCAGCCTTCCCCCAGAGGCGATCCAGGACTTCCAGCAGCGGAGCTTGGAGAAGCAGCAGATGCAGGCCTGGACAGCGGGGGGGCAGTGGGGCACTTTGCATCGCGGGAGCCACCAAGCGCCTTTGCTGCAGACCCGGGCGCTTGGCTGCTCCCGTGATGCAAATTCTCCCCCCCCCCGCCGAGGCTGACTGCTGCCCTGCTGAGCCCCCCCAGGTATCAACCTAACCGCACGTCACTGGATAGCATTCATCTGAAAGATTTCTAATAGGGGACTGTCTAAGCTTNAAACGCGAGATACCAACTTTTTAGGATCTAAATGCCATCTATAGAACATCTTGTAAAAATTTTCTCTCAGATTTTGAGCTTGTGTAAATTTCACATTTCTTACCCAGAAATGTGGATAACATGAAGGGACATATACCAAGCCAAGGTGGCGCAGTGGTTAGAGTGCAACACTGTAGGCTATTTTAGCTGACTGCTAGCTGCAGTTTGGCAGATCAAATCTCACCAGGCTCAAGGTTGACGCAGCCTTCTGAGGTGGGTAAAATCAGGACCCAGATTGTTGGGGGCAAGAGGCTGATTCTGTAAACCGCTTAGAGTGGTCTGTAAAAGACCTACGAAGCTGTATATAAATCTAAGTGCTTTTGCTATACCCGGTAGACTTGCTAAAAGCCAGAACATTTTGGGTTGAAATATATAGGGCAATTTTAAAAAAATTGATATTCAGTTGAAAGCAGAAATCTTGTTGGGACTAACAGACCAATAATTAGAAAAGAGTTATGGGAGACCGTTATATATGGTAACTGCTGCAAGATTATTATTGGTATATGCAAAAATAAAAATACTCTGAAATGCCCGCAATGGTTGGCGAAGATGACAGGATTACAGAGATGGCAAAATGGCCTTGTTTGATTAGAGGAAGGATAATAATTACATTTATTACTGACTGGAAGCCCCTGGTGGACTTTTTGTTGAAAAAAAGAACCTCGCCCCATGACCTCTGGTTTGTCGTCTTCCATTCCTACCTTAAGGGCAGGTGCCAGAACGTACTTTTGGGAGGGCCCACCATCTCTCCGTGGCTGTGGGCTATGGAAGATTACCAGGCCCTCCTCTGCCCCCCCCTTTATGAAGGTCCCAGGTGGGATCACCTGGAATTCTGGAGCTGGATGTTATTTTATGGGATAACCCTGAGATGTTTATGTCATCACAGGTGTTGACCTCTATGAGCGTCTCTGGATTTGCATAAGATGAAGAAACTAAAGCCAAATTCAGGGAAGTCCTCAGGGACTCCTGGTTGATGATGATTTCTATCCAGTCAGATTTACCTGTGCCTCCTGAAAAAGCACTCATGGGCGGGGGGCATATTTGAACCTAATCTTTCCTCGAGTGCTGAGGTGAGACTGGTGGTGAGGGATGCCTGCCTCCCTGGACAGTTGTCTCCCCTAGCGCCTATCATCCATGCATGATAATATAATTTACGTGGGGATCTCAATGTCAGAAGAAGTATTTTGAGAAGGAACTGCTCTTCAGTAACCACACACAAACAACAGTCATCTAATCCCAGGAGGAGAGGAGAGGAGAGATAAATGTGGACAGGAACCCTGCCACCAAATAGGGTCTCTCTCTGTGTGAGGCCCTGCATGGCAGGGATAGCCCAAAGTGGCGTAAGTTGCCTAAACCTCTGTTCTCCTTGGAAGACAGTAATAAGGATGAACCATCTGAACTCCCACTGGATGGAGCCTCCACCCTTCCAGGCATCTTGGTAAAACTTCCCCAAACAGTCATGAGGAAAATCAAAATAGTGACATATAGGAACCTTTACTGAAACAGAAACATTGAGAGCAGCTTTTTTATTGCATATTCAAAATATTTAATAAGACAAAAGTAACAAGAATATATTTTACATAGGTTAGTTGGTTTTTAGAAGATGGCTAAAGAATTCAAGAATATTTAAAGAATCTAACAAAGAACTTCCCTGTTAAGCATTCTTCTCCTGTAGAGTAAGAAGCTTCTTTAGATTTCTTTCACCCACTTGCTTTCCTTGATAAAATATTTTTTTTGAGATCTTAATATAATTCCTTCTTTATCAAAAGTTACAGATCGTCACTGCCAGAAAGCGGGTCAGAGGCTTTCTTCCCTTGCTCTCTGTGCCTCTCATTCTCCAGGCTTTGCTTTTTTGCACATCTCCCTTTCCCGGAGGCCTCCCCCCCCCCCCCCAGGCCAGAGCAAGGACTCCTGGAGTGACTCCTGTATGAAACTCACCCTCTTGTTGCAGGGCTACAGTACATTGCCATCTGCTTAGAATAAAAATATAGGACTTCTTATAGAATGCAATACAATTGGGGGAGGGGGGCACAGGACACAAGGCCTCATAATTTAGACTCTGGAAGAAGAGGCGGAAGGCCTCCTTCCTTCCTCATGTTCAGAGAGTTCAGGGGTGGCCAGGGCACCGTTTGGTGCAAAGACTCTTTTTAAGGCCAACAGAAGGATGCTGGGAGGCATAGAGCTAGTTCCCCATCTATTTCCTCTAATGCGAATCTGCACAGAGGGAATCCCAAGGCAAATCTGTCGGTATTTGCAGGCTCCTTGAGGAAACTGAGCATTGGAGAGGGGAACCCACTTGGCAGCTGACAGTTTGTAAAATGTTTTTGCACTGTGAATGACGTACAAGAGGCACAAGAACACTTTTTGGCTACATTCTTCAGAGTTCATTCTGACTGGTCTCAATGCCCATCCAGAGTGTTTTCAAGGCTAAATTGTGGAACTGGATTATATTCTCGACAGCTCACACACCGGCAACATTCAAAGTCCTTTGCCAGGCACATTGAAGAATGCAAAATTACGTTGAGTGGGAAAAGCAAAGTACATTTGCAAAGAAAAGGTAACAGACATATTCAAAAACTTGAAAACAGACTTGTTTTCTTCGGGTGTGAGCAGATTGACACTTGGCCCCTCCAGGGAAAGGGGTGGTGGTGAAAGAAATCTCTTATTTCATTGCCCAGCAGCAAATCCTAGCACTACCTCTTTGCCAAGGTCTCCCAGGGGAGGGGGAGCACTCCCTGAAGCTCCTTGGTCCTGGTGGCTGCTGCTGCTCTCCCAGGGGCAGGTGAGGCACTCGCCTCCCCCCACAGGGTTTTGGGCCAGGTTGATTTAAAGCCACAGGTGGAAACCCAAAGTTGTTCTTCCATCTCCTGATCAGGACTAATTCCGCCTATTAAACCAGTTTTAATCCCAAGAGCACAGCCTGCAGAGCGGGACACGCATCATTCCCTTCAATGTGCTGCACAGGGAGACCCCCAGAAATCCCTTTTCTTTCGGTCCATAGACAGGAACAGCAGCTAAGCAGTTGGAAAAGCTGCAAAGCCCCTGGCAAAAACCCCACAGGGGCAAGAGCCTTATGCTGACCAGTTTTTGAAAAGTTTATCCTGTCCTGTGACCCAAACGTTCTCTTCACCTGAAATAAACTTATCTGGAGCACCACCAAAAAGAAAAGCCAAGAAGAAAGAGGTTAGTTCTTCCCAAGGAAAAGTCAACTGATCTCCATATGGTTGTCTCCTGGACTCTGGGGGTGATCCGCCTGCTCTCCCAGATCCCCCCATTTAATTGACGCAGGGCCTTTATTGCAATCGAACCTCGGAAGAGGCAGCCTTAAGACATGACTTCTCAGCTGCGCACAGCCCCGGTGGGACAGCCCCTGCGATCAGGTGAAGGTGGCAAGGAGAAGGCACCTTTGAACTTCTTTTACTGAAGAGACGGAGATGATCTCAAAGGGCTTTGATGAGATTACCAGAAGCCACTTCTTCTGCTCTGGGGAGCATTGGGGTGTCACAAAATTAATATTTACCAAACTTTTAGGAACACTTTCTAAAGAAAGTCTTTGTGATACAGTCAGATGACCTTCTTTAGCCTTGTGCTTTTTGCAGCTTATATTCAGTTTAGTCTCTGGCAAGAAAAGGATGAAATCTTCGTTAACACTTAATGTTGAGTTTGCCCAATCATTCTGGTAATTAGACCTGGCTCACTCAACTGACCAGAGGGGTCCACCAAAAGAGGCCAGTTGGTTTTAGGGTACAGTCTTGAGTTTCTGCTTCTCTCCACTGTTCCTGCTCTCAAGTTTCAAAGTATTTGTAAATTGCTGTGACATAGAGCATAACATTCTGCCAGTCTGGACGCTCCGTTCGTACCATTTCATTAATATCCTACCAAGAAAACAAGAAGGAAAAAACAGAAACATAAAAAGATGCCAGTCATGTAGAATTAACTTCGTCCCTTCTGAATATAAGCTTGCCTATAAAAGTAATTACATTAATAAATAAAATTCTCTAGGCTTTCAGCTACAGAAAAGCTGTCTCTGAAAGCAGGTCAGGGCTGGGCTGCTTTCCTTACACCAAAGCTGAAACAGTTCCTAAAAATCCGGCTGGCATTCAGACAATCTGGGTTACTGGTCTGTGTGAACCAGCTTCAGCACTCATCTGCAAAGAGAGCAGTGGTTTGTGATGTCGTCAGGTCGTCTATTGGGTTGAGAGAGGGAGAGAGAGTGGGGGGGAGGGGGCAGGGAGAGATCAAGGAGGACGGAAGCCGCCTGGAATAGTCCAATTACACGGGAGGGGGCAGGGAGAGAGAGGGGGGAGGGGGGAGAGACTGCCCTTCTCAATGCCCCAACTTTGCACTATTCTCAATGCTTAAGACTGCCATTTGAGCACAAATGGCGTCATCGTTGCACAGACTTACCAAGGTGGATTTGATGCCAACGCTCTCAGCGGCCTGGAAAGCAAGCGTGAAATTTCTTCTCTGAAACAGAGTTAAGCCACAGTAAGTGCACAGCAAATAACCTAAATACCAAAAAAAAAAAAAAAGACTTAAAGGTCTTCCCTCTTAATTACTGCTAGATAGTCCTCAACCTATGATCACAATTGAGCCCAACACTTCTGCTGCTAAGCAAAGCATCTGTTAAGTTTTGCTCCGTTTTCCAATCTTTTTGCAAAAGTTGTTAAGCGAAGCACATGGTCATTATGTGAATCTGGTCCTGATTTTGCTTGTCAGAAACCAACTGGGAAAGTCACAAACGATGATCACGTGACCCCATGAGAATGCAACTGTTAGAAGCACATGCTAGTTGCCAAGCACTGAAATTTTCATCATGCGACCATGTGCACAAGTCACTTTTTTCAGTGCTGTTGTAACTTAGAAAAGTCATGAAACGAATGGTTGTAACTGGAGGACTTCCTGCACCTGAGGGCTCCTTGGTGCTCTTTGAGCCTGCTCCCTGTAACATCATTGGTGCCAGTTTGGGGAATGAAACATCTGCAAGAAAACAAGGAAGTCCCGAGAGCCCCATCGTCAGTCCTGAGCTTCACACCCTCCCCTTCATTAGCACCACTTGTACACTTTTACAAAGATTTTGCAGTGTCCTTCGCCTTTCACGGTTTATCAAAAATTCTCTAATGGAAATAAAATATATTCTTCCCTTAAAGAAATTTCATTGAAAATGAGTAAATGTTTCACCCCTTCCAAAATGGATCTCTGGGAATTTGAGAAATTTCTCCTAGGACTAAGGAGAAATTTTCCAATGCTTAGAACAATTGATCAGCGGAACAACTTGCCTCCAGAAGTTGAAAATGCTCCACATTGGAAGTTGTTAAGAAGAGATTGGACAACCATTGGTCTGAAGTGGCATAGGATTTCCTGCCTAAGCAGGGGGTTGGACTAGAAGACCTCTGAGGTCCCTTCCAACTCTGTTATTCTGTCAAATATGCTTGTGGGTGACCTTGTAGCAGCAGAAGTCAAGGAACAGAAGGCTGATGGAGATGAAGACAAGCCACTCCTGTGACAAGCGGAGACGCTGCAGTGAGAAAAGAATTGCAGGCAGGGCCCATGGAGGGAGGACAGGGAGGAGGGCACCAGGCTCACTCCCCCCCCCCCCCAACACACCAGAGGTTCCACGTTCTGCTTTTTTCAGAGTGGAAATGTGTTTCATTAATGGCCCCATAGGAGCCTTTCTCAGTCAGCAAATTTAACCCCAGTCCTGGAAGATGACCTCCCAGCTCATGTACGATTGGCAGTTACAGCCTGGGTACTGCAGGAAAAGGCCCTTTCCTCCAACACAAATGTGATTTTACCAAATAAACACACACACACTCTCTCTCTTCTTTCTTTCTCCTTTTTTAACCAGGCCTCCCTTTCCTCTTCACTGTTTCAGCGAATCTTCCCTGGGTCCAGGCAGCCTCTGATCTTTCTCTGACTTCCATAACTCATAGGAAAGCCTGACAGTCTATGGGGCAGAAAATCAGACAGACATCAGACAAATGGCTTTTTAATAAAGTTTTGTTAGTCAGAAAAGGGGCTACCAGTTTTGCAACTCAGGGGCTTCTCTGAAAGTGCTTCCCTGAGTTCATCCTGCTGGGTATTTTGATAGTTTGCTTGTCCTTTTCTTCTTATATTTACCATCTTAAACAATTACTTACTTAAGATACTCTTATTGTTCTCTTATAAATCATTTAAACTTCAAGGGAGCAAGAAATACATTTAAAAAACAGTAACAATTTACACTCAAATGTTACTAATGGTTGCATCTTCTCCCCTTATGGTTTAACAGAGTAACAGAATTGGAAGGGACCTTGGAGGTCTTCTATTCCAACCTCCTGCTCAAGGAAGAAACCTATATCATTTCAGGCAAATGGTTGTCCAATCTCTCCTTAAAAACTTCCAGTATTGGCACACAATTTCTGCAGGCAAATTATTCCACTGATTAATTGTTCTCATTGTCAGGAAATTTCTCCTTAGTTTCAGGCTGCTTCTCTCCTTGATTAGTTTCCATCCATTGCTTCTTGTCCTGCTTTTTGGTGCTTTGGAGAATAGGTTGACCCCCTTTTCTTTTTGGCAGCCCCTTGGGTTTTGGAAGACTGCTATTATATCACCCCTCGTCCTTCTTTCAATTAACTAGCCATTCTTAGTTCCTGCAGCTGTTCTCCATATATTCTAGCTTCTAGTCCCCTAATCAGCTTTGTTGCTCTTCTCTTTAAAAGAAAGCCACCAGAGTCCCTTTGGATAGTGACAGTGAGATCGGAGGCATATAAATTTAATATTTGCAGAGCCTCCCTCGGACTCACTCCAGTCTGTTACAAGTGGGATGGCTGCTAGGATGCAGGTCAGGTTGCTGGGATGCAGCCTTGCCCACTTCCTGCTGGGCCTATACTGAGAGAAAGAACTGTAGGCGTACAAAGGGGGCTGTGAAGGCTGTGCCCAGAAAGAAGGCTCCTGGTATGGGCAGGTTCAGATAGTGTACCTTGTCCTGACTGCTCAGCTCCTGGTAGGGAATGTGTGCCGGGAGGTAAGTATGGAGGACAGCACAGAACGCCAAGCCATCGTTCCAGCTGCTGCTGAAGTTGGTGATATCGATATTCTGAAATGGGGGAAACCAAAGCAGGTAAGAGAAATCATGTCTTCTAGGAGCAAGGGACTTATATTCTTAGATTCAGAACACAAGTTAAGATAGAACGGAACGGGAAGCAAACAAAAACAAGGGAGAGAAGGAGGGAGAGCAGCATGGGCTGCTAGCCTCCGAGAATCATAAAGTCACAAGCAATCAAAGCCAATCTGCACCCTGCTCAGAAGAGGAAAGCAAACTGGAGCATCCCTGATGGATGGGTGTTTGTCTGCTTCAAAATCCCCACTGGGTCACTGGATCAAGGGATGCCCTGCCTGACTGCTCTTGCCCCCTGCAATGCCCTGGGAGGAATGCCGGCTCCTCCTCTTTCTCTTTGGGGTTCTCAGCTTCTGTTCATACAAGCATCCTCCTGCCCTCCCCTGCCCTTGTGTCAGGTTCTCTCTGCGTCATTACACATCCCGTGGCTTCCGGGTTTCATCAAGCAAATTGTGACTCTTTTACAGTAGTCGTTTACACGTCCGGGTTATGGAAAAAGAGCCATTTACATGAACCTCTCAAGAGAAACGTTTTGCCCTTTTCTCTTGTTTTGCTTTGTCACACAAAATGCCGCTACTTGGATTCTTCCCTTCTGAGGCAACCCTGCACACAGGATGTCCTTGGGTCAGATTAAAGCCCCAGAAGAGCAGCGGAGAAGAGATCCCTTCCATCCCTCTGGTCATTGTAAGATCTATGGCTTGTATGTGAAAATCTGAAACGGATGCAGCTGCACAATGGGAATTTTAAACAAGGTTGAATGTGGCTTTTTTTCCCCAAAGGATATTCTTATAAATAGAGGGGCTGGAAAACAAGATGTGGACAGTGTTCTCGCTTGATTTCATTTGTCTCGTGGATGCTGAGAAAATGCTTAGCACTCAAACCCTTCTGGCGAGGATCTCTGCCATAGTCAGTAACCTCTGGCAGCCCTGGAGATTACTTAGGTTTTTGATACATTTGGGAGTGTAAACTTCCCCTGATTCGGGTTTTTTATGAGATCACTTCAACTATTTAAGGTCACTGGCAAATGCCCAACTGTGCTTAGCTTTAATTCTAAGCAAGCAAAGGTAAATGAAGATTTCTGCAAAGGAGCTTGTAATAATGTTACAGGTTGATGGAGGAATTGCTGACTGACAGCAACCTTGCTCCCATCCATGGCACTGTTTGCTCAATTTGTTAAGCCACCGACAACTAAATGCCGAGGGCTTATCTCTCTCTGGGTGATGCTCAAACACCAGGGCATGAGGTCTCTAACATTTTGCTGAGAGACCACTTAGAAATCGTCTACACAGGTTGCTAAGTTTTTTTCTCAGTTAAATATATTTGTCAGCACAGAAATGTCGGTATAGGTAACCATTGCCAACCAATACTCGGTAAGCAATTGTATTTCTCTATATGCAGGATTAATTCCACTATTACAAATGGGCATCAGGTTGGCTTATGTATTTGTTAGCTAGACAATCCTTCTTTGACAACGTTGTTGTGTTTGTCCCTCTCTATTGTAAATGGAAATGTGTATCAGAATATCAGAAAACTACAGTTAGGTTAGGTTAGGTTAAGTTTATTTATAGGCCGCCCTTTTCCCTGAGGGGACTCAGGGCGGCTTACAACTTATATAGGAAGGGGAAACATACAAAGACATATAGGACAATACATAATTAAAAGAGTAGAGCAACATTCATTCAACATTCGGGCGGGGATGGAATATAATCTTTACTAGTCTCCCTTCATTTATTTATCAGCAAAAAATTCTCTCCTCTATATCTATATCTATCTATCTATCTATCTATCTATCTATCTAAATTAATATGACACCATAGTCCTAATAACTATATAAATTATTGATCTATTGTTAGATCTGTGTTATTCTATTATCAAAAATTGTAAACAATTCAAAGGAAACAGATTATGTGGCATTATTTAAGAGAATGCGTAATTTCTTTAAGGTTATTGAAACCAGTCATAGTGATACAAGCATCTTGTCTGGAGAAGCAAAGAGCAAAGGCAGCATTCACTTCCTACCAAATGAAATAAAAATAATTTCTGAACCAAACAAAGAAATAGATACCAAAGAAAAAAAATAATCTAGCAACAGAAGAG